CCCCGATTCGCCAACATCATGTAGTATCGGGTTTGCGAATGATGTCCGAAATCTACCATTGTCGGGCTTCCGTCAGCTCCAGACGGCCCACCAAGCCTCCACGATGGCCCCAAGGCGACCCAGGAGGCCCCCAAGAGGGGCCAAAGACGGCCCGCAAGAAATCCCAAAGCATCTGAGACGTGCTCTCTCCAAGGGTCCTCCCGACAGAGCGGCCTCCAGGCGCGCCGATCCAGGGGGGCAGCCGGTCGGTACGTACTGGTGGCAGGGGCCGCTCCTGGATCCTAAGAAGCAGGGTGCTTCTGAGAAGCCTCTCTCCTCCGCCTACCCCTCTCTGCGCATGGCTGACCCATCGCGGTCGCCCCCGATTTACCAACATCGTGTATCGGGTTTGCGAATGTGTTCGAGATCTACCCTCTTCGAGCTTCGGTCAGCTCCCGACGGCCCACCGAGCCTCCACGATGGCCCCAGGACGGCCCGAAGAGGCCCCCAAGAGGGTCCAAAGATGGCCCAGGCTGAACCTAAACGGTGTTTTTCGTGTTCGTGCTGTTTTCGTTGTCCCTCGCTTTTGTCTCGAATCCGCCTTTACCGCAAAACGAACTCGAAACGAAGACGGCCCACGAAATCACCAAAAATACCGTTCAGGTCCAGCCCTGGGGCGTGCCCTTTGCAAAGGCCCTCCCCGACAGAGCGGCCTCCGGGCGCGCCGATCCCAGGGGGGCAGCTGGTCGGCACGGAGGCTGGCGGCGCAGGGGCCGCGCCTGGATCTCCGCCTTGTGGTCGTCGGAGAAGAACTGGTCGCCGTCGATCTGCCGCGAGCGCACGCGGGGGGGGCAGAAATAGCCAGTCTTAGGTCGGGCATGTCCCCCTACAGGCGGATTTTGGATAAAACAAAAAAAAAAAAAAAAATGCTCAAAACATACCCCCAAATAGTCAAAGAGACAGGCAAAAAAATCGTCCCCGGTACCATCGCACTTGAAGCCAACTTGAAGCCCGACTTGAAGCCAATAGCACATCCATCGCCCATACGGGCCCGATAGCCTCCGCCCCGCAGCGTGCGGTTTCGCTATCGGGGGCCCATCGCCGATCGATCGGCGATTCATCGCCGGCTCCAGGTCGACGTCCCCCCCCCCGCGAGGCGGCCCCCCCTATCGTCCGCCCCAGGGGGCAAGGGTGGGCTGGCCCGCTCCCGAGGCCGGGAGCCCGTCCACGACCAGGGCCGTGCTGCCAGTGGCCCGCGGGGGGGCGGACGGCCAGATGGATCGGGACGATCTGCGCGTGCGGTGAAAAGGCGATCTGCGTCACTCAGAATACAGTCAACCCGTGTAATAAGGATGCGCGCGTTAAGGATGCAAGGGCCTTGGAGTGCCACGTAGACGTGTTTCGAACGAGGTTGGCCAGCCAAAGCGGCCCAGGATAGACCGAGGAGGCAAGGATGCAAGGGTAGCCATGGGAAGGTTGCCCATCCTTACTATGCGGGTTGACTGTAGCCAGGCTCAGAAATAGAAGTGTCCTGTCCTCTGGGAGGGCCGCCGTAGGCAGAACCAAGGTTGGCTCGCTTGTTGTCCGATGTGACACTCAAGGGGAGCAGCTTCGCTGTCTCAAGAACCTCCGAATGATATGTACGATATCGGAACCAGTAGAATGCGGCGCAAGTACCCCGCGCGTGAAAACCGGCAAGCCGCTGACTGTCGCCTTGGCGAGCCGCTGATTGTCGACTTGGAGAAGCCATAGGGACTCAAGATCGTACAGCAGCTTCCGTAGGACAATCGCAAAATTGATGGTACGGGTGACCATCTCGGGATGTTTGCGTGAGACCAGCACTTTTGTATTCATTTGGAAACACCGTTCGCCGCTCCAAGGCGGCAGCATATGTGGTGCGCCCCAAATGTAACAGCTGGTTGTGGGCCAATCCAAACTCGCCAGGATCCATCTTATGAGAGTGGGCAGCCATGGCCAAAAGCAGCTGCGGCAAGGTCAAAAGCTCCCATCCGCACACCGACCAAGGCGGCAGGCTCCTCCCAGGGCACCGTCATGGCCAGTTCCAGCCTCGAAGGCTAGCCCAAAGAGGATGCATCAGCGCAGAAGAATCAGCAGCTCAAGAGCTTGGAGCTACGGCAAGACCTCAACGCGGCGCGCATTGACAGCTTAATCAAGCAGCTCAGCAACGTCCAGGAGGAGCCCTGGCGGGCCGAGCGGCAGAAGAACGATGTGGTCCAGATGAGGTCCATGCAGCAGCAGCTAGCAGACACACGTGAAGAGCTACACAGCACAGAGAATGAGACGGCCTATAGGAAGCAGAAGGCCACCACTGAGGACAAGAATGAGAAATCCGATTCATCCGGCAGTTCGTCTGAGTACTAAGTTCAACGTACATTACATTAGATGCGGGAGAGGCACCTTCTACGCAGCATAAGCGTGTCGCAGAAACCCCACACGTTGTGTTCACATTGCTTCCAGCCGCTTGTGTGCGCCTTCACTTGAAGAATTGGATTCCCAAAGGCTACGGCAATTCGGAGAGGACACGGGAGGCTCCAAAGTGTGGCTAGACAACAACACGCACCAATGTCAAAATCACTGTGAAATTGGAAGTGAAGCGGAAGAACCCCTTTCAGAGCCTCCAGCCGAGTGGTCAGCTGACCACAGCATGCGGGAGCATCGCGTACGGGAGCTGCTTGGGCCACCCTTGCCCGCGCAGCGCATCGGAGACGTCCGTTGAGGATCTGCTCTCCTTTGCTCACATTTGCTTCGTTGGTCCAAGCAGCAGAGGCCTCCAAGACGGGGTCCGAGTATTTGGGGTCGGAGGCTTGCACCGCATCGCCGATGTATCGCGGATGCATCGGCGATGCATCGGCAAAGTCGGCGATGCATCGGCGCCGTCGGCGTGCAGAAAGACGGGGTCCACATCGAGCCACATCGCAGGCGCATCGGCGATGCATCGGCGATGCCCGACCCCATCTGCTCCGACCCCACCTGGGAGCCCTAGAGTTAAGTCGGGCCTGTCCTCCTACAGGGGGATCTTGGACAAACAATCAAAAGTCGTCAAAAAAATGCCCACAAATGGCCAAAACATGATCGACAAATCGTCCCCCAGACTATTTTTTCTTCTCTTGAACATCCCTCCTGTAGAGGGACACGCCCGACTTAACCCTGTGTAGAGATAACCGGGTCAATCATCATTCTTCCTGAATGCCAGCCATCCGGGGCAGCACACCGCCAGTCTCGGGGACGGCAACAGGGTGCGTCTTCCGCGGTCCTCCGCGCACGGCGCCGGGCGGGCGCAGCTGCCGCGGGAGCGGCTGGGAGGCTGGCGGGCCACAGGGGCGCCGGGGCAGACCCGAGGGTCAGCTGGCTGGCCGGCGAAGGCACTGCTCTTGTGATCAGCGGCAAAACCAAGGCCAAGTCTTGCTTCCGCCCCCCATCCCTTTTTCCAGCTCCGGTCGATATCACCACCACTATCATTATTATCATTATTATTATAAGTATTATTATTATCATGATGAGTATTAATAATATTATTATTGTTATTACGAGTATAATGATTATTATTATTGTTATTATTCCTAGTATTTTTAGTATTAGTATTATTATTATGATTATTCCTACGATTATTTAACATTATCACTGTTGTAACTTATTAGTATTACCATTATTTTTATTGCTATTATTTTTATTAATATTATTACTATTAAATTGCCAGTATTATCATTGTTAGTGATGGTAGTATATTTATTTGTAATATTATGAGTATTAGTATTATTAGTCATAGTATAAGTATTATTATTGTTATTCTTATTAATACTATCGTTGTTAATTGTATTACTACTATTAGTAAAATTAGTATTAGTATGATGATTAGTATCAGTATTAGTATTACTAGTAGTATTCTTAATACAAACAATAATAATATTAATCCGCCGGCCCCCTTGTGGGGCCACCAGGCTGTAGGCGCGGGTTCGCAGTTTCCAGTACCAGTTGTAGCTTGTAGTTTCCAGTGTTACAGTTCTGCTTCTTGCTGGTTACTGTAACTAGTTGACTTCTTGCTGGTTACTGTAACTAGTTGATTGACCGCGCGAGGGGGGGGGAGGCCCAAACAAGACTTTTAGCACCCCCTGGGCGCGTTGTCTGAATTGCTGGGGGGGCTCGAAATCGACACGCCTCACGCAGATCCGCGGGGTCAGGGTCCAAAAACACATGGGATTTGCCACATTTCTGAAATTCGGTGCCACCCCTCACGCAGATCCGCGGGGTCAGGGTCCAAAAACACAGGGGATTTGCCACATTTCTGAAATTCGGTGCCACCCCTTACGCAGATCCATCGCAAGGCGTGGTAACCCAAACTGCGAGTACTCCCTCGGCCCTTTAATCCCAAGGTGTGGTAACCAAGCCGTAAACCATACACGTCTTACCAATCGCCCCTGTGTGGTAACCCCTCTTGTGGTCAGTTGGTTTTGCGATTGCGAATCGGCCCTCGCATGAAGTTCCGATTCAACTGCTGCACGACAGCGCCAAAGCCTCATGACTTAGCTCTTCCATGGCCCATTCTCCGAGAGAGGGGGCCGGCGGCAGGGGGCGAAGCCCTTACGGATAATACCATTATGAATATCATTATTACAAGTATTATCAGTAGTATTATTTAACTAGTATTACTATTATTTATAGTATTACTACTACGGTTATTATTATCACTATTAGTAGTAGTATTATTGTCATCATCATCATCATCATCAACAGCAGCATCAGCATCATCATCATCAGCAGCAGCATCATCATCAGCATCATCATCATCAGCAGCATCATCATCATCACCAGCATCATCAGCATCATCAGCATCACCATCACCATCACCATCATCTGCATATGTTTCATCGTCATCGCCATCGTCATCATGATCATCACCACCATCGTCAAAATCCACATGCTCCTACTGTCTAACCGTGACGCTGCGGGTAGGTTCCAGCAAGCTCTGATGCCCCGATCAGACCTATTCCTCCTCCTCCTCC